GCCTTTCTTACGTTCGTTGCTTCCTGCACATTAAATGACAGACTCCTGCAGTAAGATTGAACGTTAGGCGAATTCTGTTTTGATTATGTCTCGTATGCTTTTGAATTTGTGTGGAGAACATTTTATTGTGTCGGGAGTATTTTTCTATGTCCACTGTCTGTATATCTGGATAAAATGTAAACGTAATTGTAACGTAGAAATGTTTTATTAAGTGATAACACATTCTTCTTTGAGATGTTCAGGGCTACAAATTCTATGGGATCTCAGGAAGAATTCAATTAGATCTCTATTTCGTTTCCTTGTCAAGATAAGAAAACCAATACAAAAGTCATCTTTGTTTGAGAGTTTCCGGAACTTTGTATTTAAAGATGAAGCTCTAATTGGGTTCTTCTTGAGAGCTCACAGAATTTACAGATTTGAATTTCTTGAAGAAGAATGCAATATTATTCATTAATTAAATCTTCACGTGGCATTTTCGCTCAGACTTTATATTAACCTGTAGTAGAAAAATGCTCTTAATACCGAAAGAAGCTACCTCATTTTTTCCTACAAAAGTCTCATCTTTCCCGCAATAAGAAACACCTGACGTAGTCACAAAGGCACTCAGGAAAAAGTGGTACTAATGGTCCAGCTCCCACACTGAAACATATGAAACACAGCCAAAAGCGAATTTAACAAAGATAATAGCACCAGGGTCGTCATTCCTATTGCATGATACGATAACTAATGAGCAGGAGAAAAATTACGCGAGGTCAACACCACTATACAGGAGCACTAATACGTTAACAGGATCCACATCGTGAACAATGCTACTATCTTTCCCCGAGACAAACATACATGTGTTATGGTATGGAAGGGCACTAAACTAAGCGTTAGTGAGGACAGAGAGAGAAGGACATGCCTAGAAAGTGTGGGCATTTTCAGCCAAGCCATTTCTACAGAATAAAATCATCTTATACGGACTGCTACTGGCCTGTAACCTGGCAACATAACATATTCACTTAAGCCTTATTAGGATCCCTGGGAACTGACCGACATCTTATGCTCCACAGATGTTCCACGCTACAATGATTTCTTCGTCAGGTGACATTTAGGCCTGTCCTATTAAAATGACTTGCACTCGTTATGTACCTGACCCACACCTACTTCCACCCCAGCTTCCGGGAGTATTTATATATGTTGATTATAATCCTTTGAAAGACTTACAATATCTGAACTTTTGTTTTTATGCATAACTACATAACAAAAAGATTCCTTTCTATGTGCGGGTTATTTGTGTATTTTTTTATGCATACTTGTGTCACTGTCTACATACCTGTCAATGTAGTCAAATGGTTCAGAGAACCGACAAGTTGGTAAATTAGACAATTGTGGCACACTTGGGTAACTGTATTGTGGAAAGTTTTCTCCAACCAGTGGTTAGCGACAATTACACAACAGACATACCCATGTGTCGCACAAGTGTCTAATTTATCGTATCTGTTCGTGTTACAGCCTACAAACCTACATAATTATGCCTTTCTCTACACACCTGTCAGTGTTACAATCTTCACATCTGTATACTTGTGTCATTGTCTACACACCTGTCATGAATTCATCATGCTGGCTTTGTACTGTGAGGGTCTGGAAATAAATGGTATAAAATACCGACACAATGGAAATATAAACACAAATGCAGTATAATGTGATCCTTTATTGACAACGTTTCACCCACACAGTGGGCTTTTTCAAGTCACACACGGATCTACCTGGGGCTGGAAGGTACGAGAGTATTTATAGTCATGTTCAGAATGTTGAGGTCAGGTGGAGAATGCTGCATCTGATGATCTACCGGGTGGGGTTATAGAGTCTTGGGTAGCTTGGCAGGGGTATTGGACAAGTTGTAGACCTTCTGCAGTGTTCTATGTTCTTATGTGGGATAGCGATGAAGAAGTTTCTTGGCGAGTGGTTCAGCTATGTTATAGAAGCCATTGTTCTGGTTGAAATTGTTGGTTATAGAGATAAGCGATGATTCCAGGATTCTTCTGTATTGAGTGTTGTCTTCTGTGGCTATAAGTCTTGAGTTTCTGTAGTTAATTAAATGGTTGTGTGAATTGCGATGTTGTACACAGGCATTCCTTGTATCGTCAGTCCTGCTTGCATATTGGTGTTCTGAAATGCGTGTTTGGAGGTCTCTTGATGTTTCGCCCACATATAATTTGTTGCAGTCATTACAAGGGATTATGTATACCCCTGCAGAGGATGGAGGCTTGTCCTGTCTACTACTGGTGATGTCCTTGATGGTCGTGGTTGTGGAGATAGATACTTGGAATGATGTTTTGGCAAAGATGTTGGAAACATGTTTGGCAATGGAGTTGTTGGGGAGGACTATGTATCTCTTCTCGGCAGTGTCTTCTCTGGGTGTGTTGAAGATGTTTAATGCCCGCCGTCTGCAGTCTCTGATGAAGTGACGAGGATAGTGGAGTTTAGAAAATACTTGTTCAATTATAGTGCATTCTTCCTCAAGGAACTCATTGCTGCAGATTCTGAGTGCACGTAGGAAGAAGCCTATAATCACACCACGTTTGGTTTTGGTGTCGTGGTGAGAGTAGAAGTGGAGAAGATCGTTTTGGTTGGTGGGTTTTCGATAGACTTTAAAACGAAGTTCGTGGTCAGCTTTGCAGAGCAGAACATCAAGGAAAGGAAGAGTGTTGTCGACTTCTTCTTCAAGTGTGAACTGGATTGAAGGCTCGACCTGGTTGAGCTTGTCTTGGAGAGCTTGAACGTTGAAGCGTTTAGGAGTTATAAGGAGAATGTCGTCAACATAACGGAGCCAGGTGACAGACGAAGGAATAATGGTGGAGAAACGTTCGGCTTCTAGATGTTCCATGTATAAGTTCGCCAGAACTGCACTGAGTGGCGAACCCATGGGTAGTCCAAAAGTCTGCTGAAAGAGGTGATTTTCGAAGGAGAAACACGTAAAGCCAACACATAGTTCAACAAGGTCGATGAAATCGCTGGCTGGAATGGGAAGATCAAGTGAATCGTCAATTTTCCTGCGCAAGAGATCGATGGCTTGTGTAGTAGGTACTTTGGTGAATAGGGAAGTCACGTCAAGGCTGGAAAGTTTCTTGTTCCTGATGTTGATGTTGCGAATGCGATTGAGAAGATCACCAGAGTGTTTGAGATGTGCTGGACTGATAGTGCCCAAGAGTTTAGAGAGGTGTTTGGCGAGAATTCCTGAGAGCTGGTGGGGAGCACTGCCTATTCCCGAGGATATGGGCCTCAGTGGGATACCAGGCTTGTGAGTCTTTGGCAGTCCGTACATTCTGGCAGGTCTGGGGTTGCTTGGGATGGTGTGCAGAAGTTTCTTCCCTTGTTTCTCCACCATTATTCCTTAGTCTGTCACCTGGCTCCGTTATGTTGACGACATTCTCCTCATAACTCCTAAACGCTTCAACGTTCAAGCTCTCCAAGACAAGCTCAACAAGGTCGAGCCTTCAATCCAGTTCACACTTGAAGAAGAAGTCGACAACACTCTTCCTTTCCTTGATGTTCTGCTCTGCAAAGCTGACCACGAACTTCGTTTTAAAGTCTATCGAAAACCCACCAACCAAAACGATCTTCTCCACTTCTACTCTCACCACGACACCAAAACCAAACGTGGTGTGATTATAGGCTTCTTCCTGCGTGCACTCAGAATCTGCAGCAATGAGTTCCTTGAGGAAGAATGCACTATAATTGAACAAGTATTTTCTAAACTCCACTATCCTCGTCACTTCATCAGAGACTGCATTATTATTATTATTATAATCAAGGGGGAAGCGCTAAACCCGGAGGATTATACAGCGCCTGGGGGGGGATGTGGAAGGCATTCAGGCTTAATTCGGGGAACTGGAGCACAGATCCAATTCCCTATATCAAGAGCCCCTCACCAACATCAAGGAACCTTCCTTGAGGGGAATCAGAGACTGCAGACGGCGGGCATTAAACATCTTCAACACACCCAGAGAAGACACTGCCGAGAAGAGATACATAGTCCTCCCCAACAACTCCATTGCCAAACATGTTTCCAACATCTTTGCCAAAACATCATTCCAAGTATCTACCTCCACAACCACGACCATCAAGGACATCACCAGTAGTAGACAGGACAAGCCTCCATCCTCTGCAGGGGTATACATAATCCCTTGTAATGACTGCAACAAATTATATGTGGGCGAAACATCAAGAGACCTCCAAACACGCATTTCAGAACACCAATATGCAAGCAGGACTGACGATACAAGGAATGCCTGTGTACAACATCGCAATTCACACAACCATTTAATTAACTACAGAAACTCAAGACTTATAGCCACAGAAGACAACACTCAATACAGAAGAATCCTGGAATCATCGCTTATCTCTATAACCAACAATTTCAACCAGAACAATGGCTTCTATAACATAGCTGAACCACTCGCCAAGAAACTTCTTCATCGCTATCCCACATAAGAACATAGAACACTGCAGAAGGTCTACAACTTGTCCAATACCCCTGCCAAGCTACCCAAGACTCTATAACCCCACCCGGTAGATCATCAGATGCAGCATTCTCCACCTGACCTCAACATTCTGAACATGACTATAAATACTCTCGTACCTTCCAACCCCAGGTAGATCCGTGTGTGACTTGAAAAAGCCCACTGTGTGGGTGAAACGTTGTCAATAAAGGATCACATTATACTGCATTTGTGTTTATATTTCCACTGTGAGGGTCTAGTGAGAGGGGTGGCAGTGAGGGGTGAGTGGTGCCTTTGATGGGTGAGGAGTAAGGTTGCCTGTGAAGAGTGAGGATGCCTGTGAGTGAGGGAGTGATAATTCAGCGCTTAAAACAATGGTTCTGGTATTCTGAAAATAGAGAAGTTGGGTGTTAGTATGCAGTGCTGGGAATAGTAGTGCGGTGCGATGCAGTGCGGTGCGGTGCATTAGTGCAGCGGTGCATCATAAGTGCGTCAATCAGGCTGCTTGTACATTACCGCGCACGAGGAGCTCAGCGGTGTAGCGCACTTCACGCGCCTCGTTGCGCGCCACACATGTGTAGTTTCCGGCGTGGTGGGGACGCACGTGCGCTAACACAAGGCTGGTGGAGAAAGAATCATGTTGGCTTAGCTGGAGGTCTGCAGTGGGAGTGAGGACGTGCTCATCACGTAGCCACAGTAGTGTCAGGGGCGGGTCTCCCATCTGCACGTCACACGTCACTGTTGTCCGCATCCCAGACACCAGTGAGCCGAAGTCAAATGGCTTGATGGAGGGCGGCACTGCAAGAGAAGGATGAATTAGCCAGAGGCCCTGATAGGTAGTTACCGTGGACACTCAGAGTGCTGGAGTGCGAGGCTGTGGCCGCAGGAGTGCTAGCCTGGCACGTGTAATTCCCAGAGTGATGCGCTCGCAGCCTCTCAATGAAGAGTGCCACCACGAACTGTCCCAGGGGCATGACGGAGATCCCGGGGGTGGTGGTTGCGGGGGAGCCGTTGTGGAGCCAAGTGAGGGTCACAGGAGGGTCACCCTGCACCAGCAGGCACTGTACTGCCACCCGTGACCCCGCCCACAGTGATTCTGGCATGGTGAAGGGTGCCACCCGCGGCGGCTCTGGAACACAGCAGTAATAACGTAAATAATGAATACTTGTTGCTTACTCTGGACCAACTGCTGCTCAGAGGTTCTTAATCAAGGGAACTAGAGCTTAAGTTACCTTCCTTGGATCAAACCTCAGTGACTCCCAATCTCAAGACGCTGTATGACCCGTGCAGATTTAGAGCTTCTTTTCATAAATAACAAAAATAGGTAAATATTTAAGAACCAGGAAAATTATCCTGACTACCTCACATAGCACCTACCTAACACTGCACCTGCCTAACACTGCACCTACCTAACACTGCACCTGCCTAACACTGCACCTGCCTAACACTGCACCTACCTAACACTGCACCTGCCTAACACTGCACCTACCTAACACTGCACCTACCTAACACTGCACCTGCCTAACACTGCACCTGCCTAACACTGCACCTGCCTAACACTGCACCTACCTAACACTGCACCTGCCTAACACTGCACCTACCTAACACTGCACCTAACTAACACTACACCTACCTAACACTGCACCTAACACTGCACCTACCTAACACAGTACTTACTTAACACTGCACCTGCCAAATGTTGTACCTACCTAACAGTACGCCTACCTAACACTGCACCTAACACTGAATCTATATAATACTGCACCTACCTAACAATGCACATACCTAACATTGCACCTGCCAAACACCGCACCTGCCAAATACTGTACCTAACGCTACACCTACCTAACACTGCATCTACCTAACACTGCACCTACCTAACACTGAATCTATATAATATTGCACCTACCTAACAATGCACCTACCTAACACTCCACCTACCTAACACTACATCTACCTAATACTGTACCTACTAACATAGCACCTACTTAACAGTGCACCTACCTAACAGTGCACCTACCTAACATTGCAGCTAACACTGCACCTACCTAACACAGTACTTACTTAACACTGCACCTGCCAAACACTGCACCTGCCAAATGCTGTACCTACCTAACAGTACGCCTACCTAACACTGCACCTAACACTGAATCTATATAATACTGCACTTACCTAACAATGCACATACCTAACATTGCACCTACCTAACAATGCACATACCTAACATTGCACCTACCAAACACCGTACCTGCCAAATACTGTACCTAACGCTACACCTACCTAACAATGCACCTACCCAACACTGCACCTGCCTAACACTACATCTACCTAATACTGTACCTACTAACATAGCACCTACTTAACAGTGCACCTACCTAACAGTGCACCTACCTAACAGTGCACCTACCTAACATTGCACCTAACACTGCACATACCTTACACTGCACCTACATAAGACTGCACCTACCTAACACTGCACCTACCTAACACTGCATCTACCTAACACTGCATCTACCTAACACTGCATCTACCTAACACTGCACCTACCTAACACTGCATCTACCTAACACTGCACCTACCTAACACTGCATCTACCTAACACTGCACCTACCTAACAATGAACCTACCTAACAGTGCACCTAAATAACACTGCACCTACCAAACATTACACCTAAATTGCACATCTTCCTCACACTCCATCTTCCTAACACTGCACCTCACACTGCGCATCACACTTCACCCCACACTGCGCCTAACACTGCCCCTCACACTTCACCCCACACTGCGCCTAACACTGCATCACACGCTTCACCCCACACTGTACCTCACACTGCACCTCATACTGCACATCACACTTCACCCCACACTGTACCTCACACTGCGCCTCACACTTCATCTCCTCCAAACTGCGCATCACACTTCATCTCCAGACTGCACCTCACACTTCTCCACAATGCACCTCACACTTCATCTCCTCCATACTGCACTTCACACTTCATCTTCTCCACACTGCACCTCACACTGCTCCTCACACATCATCTCCTCCATAATGCACTTCACACTTCATCTCCTCCACACTTCGCCTCACACTTCATCTCCTCTACAATGCGCCTCACACTGCTCCACACACTTCATCTCCTCCACACTGCGCCTCACACTTCATCTCCTCCACACTGCGCCTCACACTTCATCTCCTCACTGGGCCTCACACTTCATCTCCTCCACACTGCGCCTCACATTTCATCTCCTCCTCACTGGGCCTCACACTTCATCTCCTCCACACTGCACGTCACACTTCATCTCCTCACTGGGCCTCAAACTTCATCTCCTCACTGAGCCTCACACTTCATTTCCTCCACACTGCGCCTCACACTTCATCTCATCTACACTGCGCCTCACACTTCATCTCCTCTACACTGCGCCTTACACTTCATCTCATCTACACTGCGCCTCACACTTCATCTCCTCCACACTGCGCCTCACACTTCATCTCCTCTACACTGCGCCTCACACTTCATCTCCTCTACACTGCGCCTCACACTTCATCTCCTCCACACTGCACCTCACATTTCATCTCCTCTACACTGCACCTTACACTTCATCTCCTCTACACTGCACCTCACACTTCATCTCCTCCACACTGCACCTCACACTTCATCCCCTCTACACTGCACCTTACACTTCATCTCCACACTGCTCCTCACACTTCATCTCCTCCACACTGCACGTCACACTTCATCTCACTGGGCCTCACACTTCATTTCCTCCACACTGCGCCTTACACTTCATCTCATCTACACTGCGCCTGACACTTCATCTCCTCTACACTGCACCTCACACTTCATCTCCTCCACACTGCGCCTCACACTTCATCTCCTCTACACTGCACCTCACACTTCATCTCCTCCACACTGCGCCTCACACTTCATCTCCTCTACACTGCACCTCACACTTCATCTCCTCTACACTGCGCCTCACACTTCATCTCTACACTGCACCTTACACTTCATCTCATCTACACTGCGCCTCACACTTCATCTCCTCTACACTGCGCCTCACACTTCATCTCTACACTGCGCCTTACACTTCATCTCATCTACACTGCGCCTCACACTTCATCTCCTCTACATTGCGCCTTACACTTCATCTCCTCCACACTGCGCCTCACACTTCATCTCCTCTACACTGCACCTCACACTTCATCTCCTCTACACTGCACCTCACACTTCATCTCCTCCACACTGCGCCTTACACTTCATCTCATCTACACTGCGCCTCACACTTCATCTCCTCTACACTGCGCCTCACACTTCATCTCTACACTGCACCTTACACTTCATCTCATCTACACTGCGCCTCACACTTCATCTCCTCTACACTGCACCTCACACTTCATCTCCTCTACACTGCGCCTCACACTTCATCTCTACACTGCGCCTTACACTTCATCTCATCTACACTGCGCCTCACACTTCATCTCCTCTACATTGCGCCTTACACTTCATCTCCTCCACACTGTGCCTCACACTTCATCTCCTCTACACTGCACCTCACACTTCATCTCCTCCACACTGCGCCTTACACTTCATCTCATCTACACTGCGCCTCACACTTCATCTCCTCTACACTGCGCCTTACACTTCAATCTCCTCACACTGCGCCTCACACTTCATCTCCTCTACACTGCACCTCACACTTCAATCTGCTCCACATTGCGCCTACACTTCATCTCCTCTACACTGCACCTCACACTTCATCTCCTCCACATTGCGCCTCACACTTCATCTCCTCCACACTGCGCCTTACACTTCATCTCATCTACACTGCGCCTGACACTTCATCTCCTCTACACTGCACCTCACACTTCATCTCCTCCACACTGCGCCTCACACTTCATCTCCTCTACACTGCACCTCACACTTCATCTCCTCCACACTGCGCTCACACTTATCTCCTTACACTGCACCTCACACTTCATTCTCTACACTGCGCCTCAACTTCATCTCCTCCACACTGCGCCTCACACTTCATCTCCTCCACACTGCGCCTCACGACTTCACTCCTCCACACTGCACCTCACACTTCATCTCCTCCACACTGCGCCTCACACTTCATCTCCTCCACACTGCGCCTCACACTTCATCCTCTACACTGCGCCTCACACTTCATCTCCTCCACACTGCACCTCACACTTCATCTCCTCTACACTGCGCCTCACACTTCATCTCCTCCACACTGCACCTCACACTTCATCTCCTCCACACTGCGCCACTTTTATTCACTTTATATTTTCTTCATATCGTAGTTCTCATTCATTCAGGGTCATACAGCTTTAAGGAATTTTGAAGTCATTATTATTATTATTATTATTATTATTTATTATTATTTATTATTATTATTACTTCTAATTCTGCCAATACGACTAATCCTACTACTACTCTATGATTATTAATTTTGGGTTAATATGGTGAACTTAGAGTATCAAGTCAAAATATAATGTTACTTACACTATGGTGCTATGTTACCACACAACACAATGTTACTTACACTATGGTGCTATGTTACCACACAACACAATGTTACTTACACTATGGTACTATGTTACCACACAACACAATGTTACTTACACTATGGTGTTATGCTACCACACAACACAATGTTACTTACACTATGGTGCTATGTTACCACACAACACAATGTTACTTACACTATGGTGTTATGTTACCACACAACACAATGTTACTTACACTATGGTGCTATGTTACCACACAACACAATGTTACTTACACTATGGTGTTATGTTACCACACAACACAATGTTACTTACACTATGGTATTATGTTACCACGCAACACAATGTTACTTACACTATGGTGTTATGTTACCACACAACACAATGTTACTTACACTATGGTGTTATGTTACCACACAACACAATGTTACTTACACTATGGTGTTATGTTACCACACAACACAATGTTACTTACACTATGGTATTATGTTACCACGCAACACAATGTTACTTACACTATGGTGTTATGTTACCACACAACACAATGTTACTTACACTATGGTGTTATGTTCCCACACAACACAATGTTACTTACACTATGGTGCTATGTTACCACACAACACAATGTTACTTACACTATGGTGTTATGTTACCACACAACACAATGTTACTTACACTATGGTGCTATGTTCCCACACAATACAATGTTACTTACACTATGGTGCTATGTTACCACACAACACAATGTTACTTTCACTATGGTGCTATGTTACCACACAACACAATGTTACTTACACTATGGTGTTATGTTCCCACACAACACAATGTTACTTACACTATGGTGTTATGTTACCACACAACACAATGTTACTTACACTATGGTGTTATGCTACCACACAACACAATGTTACTTACACTATGGTGTTATGTTCCCACACAACACAATGTTACTTACACTATGGTGTTATGCTACCACACAACACAATGTTACTTACACTATGGTGTTATGTTACCACACAACACAATGTTACTTACACTATGGTGTTATGTTACCACACAACACAATGTTACTTACACTATGGTGTTATGTTACCACACAACACAATGTTACTTACACTATGGTGCTATGTTACCACACAACACAATGTTACTTACACTATGGTGCTATGTTACCACACAACACAATGTTACTTACACTATGGTGCTATGTTACCACACAACACAAGGCTGAGCCGATCAAGTCATAAACAGAACACACAACAGCCTAAGTTATTTTTATTTCAAGGTTTGGCTTTAATTTAGGCTTTGGTTGGTTATGATAAATAACCTGCCACGGCTTCCCTTGAAGCTTCCCTTCAAGGTGACATTGGATAGGCGAATAACCTTTGTTTGAAGGTAAACTGTGAACATTGCCGCCTGGAACGCAGCGGTGTCTTAAATACACGTTGTTAAGTATTGATGACCAACACCTATAAGTAGGTTCTTTATACTTTTTCCTGTCTCTTTTTCATCCTAGAGTTCTGGATTCAATCCATATGTGAGTAGAAGCATGGGACATGTTTCCCTGAACCTGTTGCACCAATTGAGTCCCGTAGCCCGACTGCTAGTGCACTCAACTCTCACACTGATGTCCGGGGATCGATCCCCGGTACAGGTGGAACATTAGGACGTGTTTCCTTAAGGCACCTGCTGTCCATGTACACCTAACACCCACCAAAATAGGAACATGGGTGTTAGTCGGCTGGCGTGGGTTGCATCCTGGGACAAAACTGACCTAATTTACCAGAAATGCTCTGCATACAAGCGACTTTCTATATAACGGAGCGTTATTGATGTCAGCTAGGCATGTACATGTACTGGTAGAATAATAATTATTATTATTGTAATTCACCTAGGTAACCAAGTGTTATCAAACTGTAATTTATCTGAGAAAACTCTGGCCTTTGCAGATGAGCTGATGCAGGATAACAGCCTTTAAATTCCAAATTAATTGTTGTATAGAGGTAAGTGGGAAAATATTTATAAGAAAAACAACTTTTAAACCATTAATATCTGCTATGAGAGAGAGAGAGAGAGAGAGAGAGAGAGAGAGAGAGAGGAGAGAGAGAGAGAGAGATTCTTACCTATCAAGCAGTGGTTGCGGGGGTCGATTCACATCTGGCACCGCCTCTTCGCTGGTAACTACTAGGTCCACTCTCTTCCTGCTCCGTGAGATTGATCGTATCTCTCCTTAAAGCTATGTATGGATCCTGCCTCCATTATATCACTTTCCTGACGACTTTATGACTGAAGAAATACTTCCTAACATCCCTGTGACTCATCTGAGTTTTCAGTTGTGACTCCTTTTTACTGTGTCCTCTCTCTGGAACATCCTGTCCCTATCCAACTTGTCAATTCCTCTC